TAAACATATTTTTGTTGATTCACAATAAGTATTAAGAATTTTAATGTGGAACCTCGTACATGTCACCAGCAACTCCTGTTTTGGCGCCATATACAAGTAATCTATTTTATGAAAATGTGTATTATAAATTAAGTAATTTTTCTATGATCCATAAATTAATACAATATTATTTTATTTAAAATTTAGAACAAAATATTGTGTAATTTTCTTTATAAACAGGAAATTATATTAAACAAGTTAAAATAAATGTGTAAGATTTAGTAATTATTGCAGCATACTTTTTTTCTTCTTTGTTTGTTTAGTAAAACAAAAGACTTAAGAAAAGAACTTGTTCCATGTATGCATGTATGTGTTTTTGTTGTGTAGAAAATTGAGTATTTCTAATGCAGAAAATAAACCATAGATTAGTTTTCTTTGTCTTAGATACAATTTCTAAGGTAATTGAGCCAACTCCGTCTATCCGTCCGTCTGTCCATCCATCCGTCCATCCATCCATCCGTCCGAATGTTTATTTTTATTCTATTTTTAAAATGATTTTAATAAAATTTGATATAAATTTAATATTTGGAATAACATATCGAGGGACTATATTCAATAGTCTCTATCTAAAATAATACAAGTTTTCAGGAGAGCAAAAAAACTGTTTATTTCGCTAGTTCGTGAAGATTTTTAATTTTTTCTTTTACAATATATTTTTACGAACATATTCTAAACCATTATATAAAAAGAATTTTAATTTTTGCATTATTTACAAAATTATTCACAAATTTATATCAGATAGAGCTTATTTTTCTACGAAAATGTTCATTCAACCAACAGATAGAGAGTTTTTCATGGAAACATAAAATTTTATTTGAATTAAAATCAATAAATATTATATTTTATACAATTTAATGGAGGAAAAGGAACCAAATTGTTGAAAAAGCAACAGATTATAATGTTTTGGTCCAAAATCAATGTTATATGGTTAAACACGACAATAAAATTGATTTAATTAGTATCATAATGAGCGATATCTTAAAAACTATTAGACCGATTTTAAATATTTTGACGGATTTGTGTTCAGCATGTCCAAATTATAAAGAAGACTTGTTTTGCAACAGAAAATTATCCAAAGGGATCGAGTTTGAAGCAATTTTTGGATAAGATAGAGAGTTTTGCATTCAGAATTTTTCTTTTTTTAAGATAGAGAAATTTAAAAAATGCTATAAAATTGCCAAAAAATATTTTTTTTTTCTTTGAAATTTATATCACTGATGCGCGATAGTTTGCTGAATATTTTGCCATTAAAATCTCATTTTCATAAAAATGACAGATAGCGACTATTGAATATAGTCCCTCGATATATTAAAATTTTAATAAAATGCTGCAACTAAAAGTTATCATATCAACACAATAGTTTTCATAACATGTTTCTATAAACCAAAGGAGGTGTGACGGCCTGCCAGTCCCCATTGGATATGGTTTACATTCTACTTGTAATAATAATCATATACACTTGTCATCTAAACCACACGTTTTTTCCAATTGATTTCATTAACATTAAATGATATAATAAATATACGTTCAAAGTATTACATCTTTTAGAGAAAAGCAATTACATTTGAAATACATAGTACTGGCAAGAAGTTGCAAAGCAACAATTCTAAATAAATTTTTTTTTAAAATTCTAAAATGCTAATTTTTGTTTAACGTACCGGTATATAAAGAATATATTAATTTTTTTTTCAAGTATAATTTTTGTTTCTACAACAAATTAAAAAGAAAAATTATAATAAAATAACTTGTCAGGCAAAAATTTAATATAAATAGAATTGTATAAAATTTTATTTGATTTTTCGGTCAATATCAACGACCATGGCCCACAATTAAGAAATATACTTTTTTGGTAATTTTGAGGGGGTTTTTACTTAAGAATCTGTGTAAATGCAAAATGATATTAAAAGGGGGAAAAACGTTTGAAATTGTTGGAAAAATTAAAACTTTATTAAAATATGTATGGAAATTACAATTATTGCTAAATACCCAGCAAACTAATGACTTTTAAATAAATACCCAGCAAACTAATGACTTTTGCTTACTCAAGAACTAACTTTTCAATAACTAGTACATATCGCCTGCATGTCTATTAACCTGCCTATACATCTGAATACTTGTCTTTCTGTTTGTCTGTCTGTTTGTTTGTCTGTCTGTCTGTCTGTCTGTCTGTCTGTCTGTCTGTCTGTCTGTCTGTCTAACTGTCTGTCTGTCTATCTGTCAGTGTGTGCGTCTGTCTATCTGTCAGTGTGTCTGTCTAACTGTCTGTCTGTTTTTCCGTCTGTCTGTCTATATCCGAATGTCTGTTTAAAACACGATAGGGTCTATAGGGAAGGAGCTTGATGAGTGAAATTTTCTAAAATATTTTCTATTGATGCATTACTTACAACCTGTATGTCTATCCATCTGTCTGTTTGTAAGTCCGTCTGTTTGTCTATCCATCTGTTTGTAAGTCCATCTGTCTGTTACCATAAGGTCTAAACAAAAGAAGCTAGATGTCTGAAATTTTCTACAATATTCTCTATTGATGCAGTTTTTTCGTTCCGGTTCGCAATTAACTCCAACCTCCATATATGGTATTTTTTGGAATAAAAGGAAGTAATATTACTTACTCATAACTGTCTTGAAAATTAAAATAAAGTAATCTTACTCCATAAAAACCATCATACATCATATCTCTCTATTGCTAATACATAGTTATATCGTTTAAAAATCAAGGTATTAAGAGAAATTCAGCTCTTTCAAATTTTGAAGAGTTCAGTTCATAATTGACCAAAGTTTCCATAAAAGTCACACAACCAAAACTCAACCTGACTCAACCTGATGGTTATAAAACTCAACTGGGAGACCCCTATACCTAGACCCAAATAAGTTTTAGGAAATCTCTTGTCATACTTACTACTACAAATTTAAGGGCATATGAAAAATCCCCTAAAAATCTTTTTTAATTTTAAAGCCTAAATAAAAAATGAAGACGAATCTGTGTTGTTATATATTATTTCAGACAAAACGTGTTTGCAAAGTAAAACAAAACGTATTCATTTGTTTTAATACAAAAGATTTTAATTGTTCATTACATTACTCAATAATAACTAAACAATTAAAATCTTTTGTTTAAAAAAAATGTAATTTTACTAGTTAAAACTTTATCTTTTATATTGATTAAAATACATGCTTGAACTTGTTAAGTCTGTTCCTAAATAATGCAGTTTACAAAATATGTTTAAGATACAATGATACGACACTGATTAAGCAATCTTATCTATTAATATTCTAAGTTATTCTAAGTTACGGACAGGCATACATACATACAGTCTATAGTTGAGACTATAGTCTACTCTATAGTTGAGATTATAGTCAACTCTATAGCCGAGAATATAGTATAGTCCCTAGTCGAGACTATAGTCTGGTCTATAGTCGAGACTAAAGTCAGTTAACTCTATAGTCGAGACTAAAGTCAGTCAACTCTACAGTTGAGACTATAGTATAGTCCCTAGTCGAGACTATAGTCTAGTCCCTAGTCGAGACTATAGTCTAGTCCCTAGACGAGACTACTTTAGTCTATAGTCAAGACTATAGTCTACTCAATAGTTGAGACTGTGATCAGTCAACTCTATAGTCGAGACTATACTTAACTCTATAGTCGAGGCTATAGTCTACCCTATAATCGAGACTATAGTCTACTCTATAGTCTACTCCATAGTCGAGACTATAATCTACTCTATAGTTGAGACTATAGTCTACTCAATAGTTGAGACAATAGTCAGTCAACTCTATAGTCGAGACTAGTCCCTAGTCGAGACTATAATAGTCTGGTCTATAGTCGAAACTATATTTTAGTCAAGACTATATGTCTACTCTGTACTCAAGACTATAGTCTACTCTATAGTCGAGACTAAATTCTACTCTATAATTGAGACTATATTCAACTCTATAGTTGAGACTATATATAGTCTAGTCTATAGTCCAGACTATAGTCTACTCTATATACGAAACTGTAATCTACTCTATAGTCGAACTATAGTCTACTTTATAGACGAGACTATAGTCTACTCTATAGTCAAGACTATAAGTCTAGTGAATAGTTGAGACTATAGTCTACTCTATAGACGAAACTACAGCCTACGCTATAGCCGAGACTAAAGTCTACTCTATAGTTAAGACTATAGTCAACTCTATAATCGAGACTATAATCCACTCTATAGTCAAGACTATAAGTCTACTCTATAGTCAAGAATATGGTCTACTATATAGTCGGGACTGTAATTCTACTCTATTGTTGAGACTATATTCAACTCTATAGTTGAAACTATAGTCTAGTCTATAGTCGAGACTATAGTCTACTCTATAGACGAGACTATAGTCTACTCTATAGACGAGACTATAGTCTACTCTATAGACGAGACTATAGTCTACTCTATAGACGAGACTATAGTCTACTCTATAGACGAGACTATAGTCTACTCTATAGACGAGACAATAGTCTACTCTATAGACGAGACTATATATATACTCTGAGAGAGACTATAGTCTACTCTGAGAGAGATTATAGTCTACTCGAGACTAAGAGCTACTGTATAGTTTATATTATAGTCTCATCTAAAGTGAAACGTATAACAGAGAAAGGTCTGAACTATAAGGCAGGTGAATCAAAAATTCTCTAGCACTTTTTTCTAAAGTGATTTCAAAAGTTATTATTAGAACATTTGGCCAAGCGTTGTCAATTAGCTTTACATTCGATCTCAAGGATATATATGTTATGAATGACACATTTTATTTAATCCTAGGTATCCTATATTTCCGAACCTTTAACCAAGCTTTCAATAGACTAACGAACATATATAGGTTTCGTAAAGAAAATAATTCATCTACATTTTTTTGTAACAGATCCATTCATATTCTTTTGTTTTATCTTAAACATAAAAATTCACAAAATTCATAATCCACTTAGCACAGACACCCACCTTTTTTACTAGATTCTTCAGGGGCGCTGGTCGTATTAACGGCCATTGAACCATTATTGTTTAATACTTTGGGTAGCTTCATTTTAAATAGATATTATTATTATTATTTCTTTTTGTATTTTAAGTTATATTTTTATGGGAAATTTAATTAGTGTTATTGTTGTTATCTGTTTTTTTGTTTTGTTTTTTGTTATAAAATAATTACACATAAATTATTTATAGTAGTAACTTTTTTAGATTTAATGAAAAAACAATTATTTTTTTTTTAAATTTATTTTTTTTCAAAACAACAACAAAAAATTACACCAAATTAGAAATTAAAAATAAAAGTTGTTTACAATTTTCGTGTTTAAATTTTAATTGTCATTAAAGTTAAACGTAACATTTGACATAAATGCATGTTATTATTATTATTGTTAATACTTTTTTTGGTGTATTTGTTCTAAAACATTTTTTTAAAAATAATTTTCTAATTTTTTATTATTATCTTTTTTTTTGTTTATTAGAAATTTAAATTTCATAAAATCGTTTTGGAGTATAATTAGTTTTTAATAGTTGCTTTTAGCTAAACATTGTAGTTCATAGTTTTTTCTGTTAATATTATTTATTTTTATTTAATTATTAAACGCTTTCGTATATATTTATTTCTATATTTATTTTTTATTAAACTCTCGCCGTGTTTCTCGCGACAATTTTAACTTGACTGAACATTTGTTTAGCGTTACAATTTAATTTATATTTTTTCCTCGGTTTTAACGCTTTTTTTTAGTTTGAATTTATTTTTATTCTGTATTTTTCACTTTTTACCTCACACCATTCTATTTATCGTTGTGTGAACGATGATTATTTGTTTGTATGCGACGTTTGAGTTCGAGTTGTTCGAGAGTTGTCGCTGGTGTATCAGTGGTGACGTTGATATTGTGTTTACGTTTGATTTTAATATTCATGTCTGATTCGATTATTAACCACCAAAATGTCTATTAGTTTGTGGGAAAAAAATGTAAATACCCTATAATATGTAAATGTATGCAAGTTAGGTGAATGTGTGTTTAAGAATTTGATATGTAAAGGAATCTGTTATGAAGTCTAGATGTCTGCATAATTAGTATAAACAGATTAAAAACACTCTGACTAGGGTAAAGTCTACATTAGTAGCGATAAGAAAGTTATAATTTATTGCTGGAGATAGTATTTGAAAATTTATTAAAGTTAAGGTGAATATTTCAATCGAAATTAAATCAAAAACTAAAGATTTGAATTAGAAAATCCAAAAGAAAAATTACTATTCTCAATTTCATGTTTCTCGGTTCAATATTATAGAAAATACAAAAAGTACCATTCAAACGAAAAAAGTACCAAAATGTTTCTTCTTTTAGATTCTCATTCACTAAGGATGCCAATTGATTCCGAGAGAGTTATATTCAATGTTCTAATCATAAACTGGGGTTTTAAATCATTGTTAATGTTTCTGTAATCGGGTTGGAAATTGAGCCATCGTCACCTTGTGGTAGGACTGCCAGAGTTTAATCTTTCCATTTTTGGAGAAAATAAAATATTAGCCCCTCTGTAGATCTATTGTCCCTGATTGTTCCCCTTGATGAAAGACCCTCGTCTTGGTGTATTGCAACCCCGGGGTAAAGAGGTGCTACCAGTACCACTAGTCTGCCGAGACTATAAACTGGTGAGGTCATTTCATTTCTCGGCTAGTCCTTGGTATGATTTGACATGGTGGCCAGTTGCCCGCAGGACTTGTCCTGTCTGGCCTGTGGTTTAAACCCAAATTCATGAGAAGGGGCGCTTGGTTAAAAGATTGATATACGGTGATATATAATTGTTCGGGATAAGTTTCTGTTCGGTACAAACCACAGAGCTGTGGATTAATAAAATGTTGGATTTGAGCTGATAATGCAAAGATTGTGTATGCGTTGGTGTTCGATGTAACATCAGATACTTGTATCTGATTGATTAGAGGGATTCTAAGTTGTATCCTTTAGTCAGGTTTAGTCAGATGGCGTGACGGAAGAGTTGCTTTGGCTGAACTGATGTTTGCTGAAACGAAGTGAGATTGTAGCGGCGTTGTTAATACCTTAATCTTTAATTTATCGGCGATTTTCCTTCATGGTTGAGTGTGTTGGAGTTTACTCTAAAACATGCTGAACTTATCACAGTAGGCCTTTGTGGTCACTGAAATAAGTCTGGCTAATTAATATAGATCTGTGTTTTCGAACTACCAATTACTACCCCTAGGTCTGTTGCCAAAACAACAGAAGCCACCTGATTGCCTTTTCCTTTGACGAGGTTAGATTCGAGGCTTGTCTCATGACACCTGTCATTCCCCAACGGTACTACTATGGCAAGAGATTAGATAGCTCGAGTATTCGAACAAAGTGCACGTATACTGGACCAGAAATTCCATATACGTAAATTGCCACCTGCATGTAAAAAACACAATAAGGCGGTGGTGAGTCGTCACAGAAGCTCACTCAGTGGTTGAAAAAGACCACCGTGAAATAGGCCAACACGGCAGGTGTTCAAGTAAAACAATCGACATTCGGGCTATAGTTTCATATCTTGTTTAGGACTTGGTTGAGATTCGATGGATCTGAGAGAGTTTTTACGTTCCAAGTTCCAATGATAAACCGGGTTCTGAATCCATAGGTCATCATCGTAGAAATAACGTTTCTGTAATCGAAATACTAATTGGGTCATCCGCACCTAGTGTTGGGGTTGCCAGTAACCCTATAGGTTAGGGTTTTGTGATGGTAAACCTTGAATCATCCGCTGCCATCACTACTGAATAGTGCCATCTTAATCGTGCATGGACACCACTCCGTAATGAGGTGCTGTAGGTATTTTCTCCATGCCCACGATCAGTCGTCAGAGCCTAGTTAGCGAGACTCTAAGTCACGAGTAGACAGTGATGGTAGAGTAGACGGATGGTATTGAAAAATTATAAACAATTTGGTGTCAATTTGGTATAAGGCGTGTAGATTTCTTTTTCCCTCTGTGTACTTACCATGATCGCTTACAAATTATTACTTAAATAAGTACTTACAAATACGAAGTTTAAAAGTTTTTTATTCTATATAAACAATAAAACTGCTCATATAGAATACGAACCTTGGCCTATTGTTCGTTAGTTCGCTATCGTACTCACAACACCACTGCTTTGCTATTGTATTGTACTTAAAAGTAATGCAGACGGTATGTAGTAGTCATTGAAAAGTAAGTTGTTGAGTAAGTATGTATTCATTAACGAGTTTTTGCTGGGTGTTTAAAAATCTTTAAAAACAATATTACCAAAATTTTGCTTAAGCTGTTGTACAATTTGTTAACGGTTTAAGCTATTTATTTAAAAATTTCTTGTTTATACTTAAAAATAAAACAAAGTTAACAAGTTTAAGTTATAAAAATGTAATTGTTTTAAAACATTTATTTATTTCTACTTAAAATTATTATCTAAAAATAAATATTTAATTAACTATTAAGACAATAAACTAGCAGAACAACTTTTTTTCATACATTCTAAGTATAAAATCAATAAATATTTATATTTGCTGATTATTGAAAAACGTTTTAAATGATATAATTTTTTTTTTAACAAAAACAAATAATGACACATTTATTTTTAAAAATTTTTGATTTCTTTAATTATATTAAAAAAAACACACATTTTAATGTAAACAAAGTAAACAGTTTAGTTGCAACAAACGAATTTGGTTATGTCAAACAAATTATACAATGTTTGTCTATTCATCATCTGCTGCAAAGAATCTATCTTCTTTGTATTAACAAAGTTAAAAACCTCCAAAATATATTTATGTATGTAATTATAAAATATTTTAAAGTTTAATCACTCGCTGTAAATTTGTTTTATATAGTACAATAAAAACAAAAACATTTAAATCAACAACTAGCATTTATTTAGATTTCATTTTATTTACCCAGATGTTACTTTTTTTTCTACAGAACATTCCTGTTCAGTTGAGCGTAACAAAATTTTTATAAATTTATATTTTTTTTATTATTAATTACCGTATTTTAACTAAATTATTCATTAATTGCTTACAGTCCCAGTACAAATCTTGTTAATACAGAGAGTACATCATATAATATCATGAATAACAATTCTTTCCAACATGCAAAGTTTCGCTAACAAAATGTACATAAAGTATTTTTTAGATCTTCTCTTTTAATATGAAAGGGAGCAAATGACAAACCTTCTAATGAAACTGTAATTTTTAAATAAAATTTTCACAGGATCGGACCACCAATTGATACAATCCCAAATACAGAGACACCTTAAACAAAATTGTAGCGTGTTATATAGTCGTTTAATGTCACACTATATTTCTTGTTAATTTTTAAAACATTATTTTAACAATTTATTTTAAATTATTTACATCTTATTAAATAAATATAAAAAGTGCAATAATTTAATTATAAACAGTTATTGTAAATATTAAATTAGGTGTATTGTTTGAAGTATACATATATCGTAAAAACAGAAGTCTTTCTTGCAGCTATTTTACACCTGTCATATTTTAATTGCAGATTCAAAATTTTGTACTTCCGTGGTTAAAAAGCCGAAAGTAATTCTTTATAAAATTATAGATTATAGTTTACAGCTAAAACAAATCATTACCAAACTTGAACACTACATACCGCCTACATTACATTTAAGTACTCTGGTAATGATTTATACTTTATTTGTAATGGCTTATTTAAGTACTCTTTTGAAAACGAGTTTTCTAAGTACACACTTTGCTTTGGGGAGTTATCTTAAGCCGACGAACTGTGGATTATTTTTTTTGAGACTAGACTATAGACTAGACTATTGACTAGACTATAGACTAGACTATAGACTAAACTATAGACTAGACTATAGACTAGACTATAGACTAGACTATAGACTAGACTATAGACTAGACTATAGACTAGACTATAGACTAGACTATAGACTACTATAGACTAGACTATAGACTAGACTATAGACTAGACTAAGACTGACTATAGACTAGACTATAGACTAGACTATAGATAGACTAGACAGACTATGACTAGACTATAGACTAGACTATAGACTAGACTATAGACTAGACTTAGACTAGACTCATAGACTAGACTATAGACTAGACTATAGACTAGACTATAGACTAGACTATAGACTAGACATAGACTAGACTATAGACTAGACTATAGACTAGACTATAGACTAGACTATAGACTAGACTATAGACTAGACTATAGACTAGAC